AGTTTGCACAGTTTGAATATGAGACTAAATGATTTGTTACGGTGGCTGCTGTCGCAGTTTTCCAGTCTTTCTGCTTTCCAACTCACAAGTGCTTGAAGCTTTGCTCTTTTTTTTCCCCACAAAAAAAAACTGTTTTTTTAAGAGCCCAAGTCCACTAGATTAGACGACATAGCGTTCAGTATAGTGTCATGGTGCACCGAGTGGTGATGGTGCACTGAGTCTGCGCCGCCGGGCACTGGGATTGCGCTGGGTCCCGGCGGGGGCGCAAGGCCGTGAAGGGACGCTAAGCCCGGGTTTGGGCCGAGGAGTAGAGCCGGGCTCGGGGACGTGTGATCCGGGGTCCCTGACGGTGTTTTATCGTCGTCCGAGCTCCCCAAAAGAGTTTTATTGCCGTTCATGGAAGAACTTAGTGGGTTGTGATTGTTGTTGTTGGAGTTTTCATTGTTTTCCCTGAGAAAATAAAGAGGAAGAAGGAAAAAAATAAAAGCATATTTAGAACTGATGAACAAACTCATGCAACAAGTATAAAAAAGGGGAAAAAAATTCAATGAAAAAAAGTGCCAAATATAAAAACTTATTTTTTTTTAAATAGCAGCATAGTTATTTAGAAAACAAACACAAAGACACGCACATAATGATTCCGTGTTTAGCAGGATATTAACTGATTTGCTTCATTTTTCCAGCCCACAAAAAATTATAAAAGGACTTATCAAAGCTTAAATCACTGACGCGCAAGATGCCAACAATTAACAAGTCTGCGAAATAATTGGAGGCTTGTCTCCAAAATGTTGTTGGCGAGACACTGAGAGGAGACAATAAGCCTCAAGTCTCAAACCCTTTAATTGCATGTATTTGTATTTAGAGCTAATTGGACGAGGCCAGAAAGGAGAGCGCGTCTCGTAATGAAGGACGAGCCAAACGATTTCGAAACGTGCGCAATTTCTGGTTCCATGTGGCACGGACACGGTCCGAAATGTTCCCCAACGGCGACATGATTTACGTGGAGCTTTCAGGCCGAATTAGTGGCCAGAGGGTGAAAGGAGACACCAGCCGAGCGAGCGAACACATGACTGGAGAGGGAGCCTCTCTGCACAGCCGCACCAGTGATTTCCAAACTTTGCAAAACTTGAACCGAAGAAGGGTCAGAGAGGAGGCCTCATCCAAACCCTCCCCAGAACACCTTTTTAAACATGTGTTTCTTTGCACGTATGGCAACGATATTTGTTTGATGTGGATGTGAAAGTAAAACGTCATTTTAGACTGAGCGTAGTTACTGAAACATAAAACAGGATGAATCTTCTGTATCCTTGTAATCAGCTGACGACCAGCCTTTAATTTCCTGCTTTTTAGTTTTTAAACGCAGCGCATAATTTTCAAAAACATTTACAAACAAGCAGCAGAAGTTCAAATAGCGTTTGAATTTAAGTAGACTGCTGGTAGAAAATCAGGATGCATTGTAACAAAAGCGTCAAGTTTTGTCAGTTTGGCAAAAAAAAAAAACGCGCACTAACTTGTTTAAGCGCATTTTTAAAAACACCTTTTTTGGTTTCATTTAATAATAATAATCCTCTTGAGGTGTGTTTTTTTTACCTTTCCTTGGCCTCAGCTGCTCGGTCTCTCTGCCGTCGGTTTTTGAACCAGTTGCTGACCTGTGTGGTCGTGAGTCCCGTGGCCTCCGCCAGCTCGCGTTTCTCCCGCGGGGACGGGTACGGGTTGTGGGTGTACCACTCCCGGAGGACGCTCCGGCTCTTCTCCTTGAAGCAGTAGCTCGTCTCCTCGCCGTCCCAGATGGAGCGGGGCAGGGGGAACTTTCTGCGCACGCGGTACTTCCCCACCGCGCCGAGCGGGCGGCCGCGCAGCTTCTCCGCCTCGATGTAGTGCGCCTTGAGCCACAGCTGCTGCAGCTTCGGGTGGTTGTGCGGCGAGAACTGGTGGCTCTCCAGGATCTTGTAGAGCTCGCGGAAGTTGCCCCGGTGGAAGGCGACCACCGCTTTCGCTTTGAGGACGCTCTCGTTCTTGTGGAGGTGCTCGCACGCCGGCAGCGACCAGAGGAAGCGCCCCAGCCGCTCGATGTTCCCCCCTTGCTGCAGGACTTCGCACACGCACGCCACTTGCTCCTGCGTAAAACCAAACGTCGGCAGCATGGACATGGCGACGACCGGGACAGATTCAACCGTGCCTCACTTCCACCGTCTCTCCTCTCAGGCTCTCATGAAACCAAGACGCATGAAGTCCACAAACTGTCCAAAACGGTCCAAAAAGAGCAGTCTGAAACTTACAGCTGTTCGATGTTTAGCGAGATCCACCTCGGTGCTGCAGGAGAGGCTCAAGCCTTTTCAGCCATGTCAAACTCCAGGCGACAATTCCTCATAAAGTTGCAGCGAAAGACAGACATTTGCTACTCCTTCCACCGTCCTCCACCTTCCTGCCGCTACAACAAAAACTTCTCACACAGACCAGACTCGCTGGCTCGTTTTAATAATATTATTCTAAGCTGGCAAGACTGGCGATTATATGAACTCTGATTGGTCGGATACCTGACCCGGGGATGGTGAGGATAAGACAATAGCCTTAGTCAAATTATTTGCCATGGTTACGCTGTCACTCAAAGTAACCTGACACGCTCTGAGGTGGCTCCTTGGCAAAGTCAACCCAATTGTTCCCCCTCAAGACCATCCCGCCTACCAATAGAAATATTGCTCAGATTCTTTTTTTTTTTTTACTCTGTCTAATACGTTTTTTTCCACCCCCTTCTCTGTACTTTCACTTTGACAGACACCTCAGGCAGCCAAAGAGCGCAGAGCTGTAGGGGAAGTTCAGAGAGCTGCGGTGATCTGATCCTGCAGCTGGAGGGAGGATGGCGCCAGAGCGCACAAAGTCCGCAGCTGCAGTGCGCCTTCATGCCGCTGTCACTTCCCAGCAATCAATCAGTGGATCCGTGCAACTTTGAAATGAGCAGTGAATATATGACATCAACAAAAAGAAAAATATTTTTTTTCAAATGATAAATGAAATGATAAATAAAGAAATGATAAATTTCCAGAATTGCGCAGCTGAGGGCGTCAGCACGTTGGAGTAGCTCTGTTACTTTTATTGAGATTTTCTTTTCTTTTCTTTTCAAGCGTTCATTCCTGCCTTTCTGTGGAAAAAGTAACTTTTGGACGGCTGTTCATTTGTGTTTTGGGTGCTGTGCAGCTGGATTGGTTTTTGCCAATATTTTTTTTTATACTTTGCTTTTTGTTATGATGCGTAAAAATAGCAACAGGGTGGTTTACAACAGGGAGCAGCTGATTAATATTGCAAAACCTGAAATAATGCATGAACTGAAGCCACAAATCCCAGAGGAGTTGAAAAGGAGGCATTGTGGATGCAGAGCTGGAGCAAAGAGGCAGAGAGAAGGAGAAGGAGGAAGTTCAAACCATCACTTCCATCAATCCTAATGGGCAACGTGAGATCATTAGCTAACAAACTGGATGAACTTCAAGCCCTGACAAGGACTCAGCAAGAGTATAAGGAATGCAGTATTATGTGTTTCACTGAGACATGGCTGCAGGATCATGTCCCTGATGCCAACATCTCTCTGCCAGGCTTCCAGATTATACGAGCAGACAGAGATTTAAAGAGCAGCGGGAAAAAGAAAGGAGGTGGATTAGCAGTGCTTGTCAACAACAGATGGTGTCATCCAGGACATGTTACTGTGAAGTTTTGTCACTGCAGTCCAGACATTGAACTCAAAGTCAAGATCAGAGACAGCAAGGAGGTTTATAGAAGGAAGCTGGAGAGTAAACTGAAAAGGAACAATATCAGAGATGTGTGGTCAGGGATGAAGAAGATCACAGGTTTCAAGCAAAAGGAGAATCGGATGGATGGAAATCTGGACAGAGCAAATGAGCTGAACACATTCTTCAACAGGTTCAGCTCAGGAACAAACTCATCTTCCTCCTCCTCCTGCTCCCAGCCAAACAGACATCTCACCCTCCTTTGACCCACAGCTTTCAAACTTCAGATGTTTTGTCTTCAACCTCAGTCATGGACTTTTCTTCTACATCCACAAGTTTGTCTTCAACTAAATCAGGAGATGCTGCTGCTCTCTTTCCCTCCCCCTCCCATTTTTCTGTATCTAGAAGTCAGGTGAAGAGGCAGCAAGAGAGACTGGACCAGAACAAGGCTGCAGGTCCAGATGGTGTCAGCCCCAGAGTCCTGAAGGCCTGTGCAGACCAGCTCTGTGGGATTCTGCAACACCTCTTCAACCTTAGCTTGACCCAGGAGAAGGTGCCAGTGTTGTGGAAGACATCCTGTCTGGTTCAGGTACCAAAGAAAACTCACCCATCAGCCCTCAATGACTACAGACCTGTTGCCCTGACATCCCACATCATGAAGGTCCTAGAGAGGACTTCCAGCACACGTCAGACTGCTGTCATCTACAGAAATACTCAGATGACTCTGCAGTTGTTGGGTGTATCAGAGATGGACAGGAAGCTGAGTACAGAGAGCTGGTGGACCGCTTTGTGCAACACATTCTCACTCCCGAGTCGTCACATATTGACGTTTTTCAAAGGTCCCTTTGCGTCCAATTTTGACGCATCAGGTGACCCCCTCGCGTCAGTCCTTGCCGCCCGCGGCTTTTCCGGGTTGCGCCACCAGGGGTCTTTGGGTCGGGGGTCTGAGGTTAACATTAGGGATCAGGATAAATGGTTAAGTTTAGGGACTGGGGTCAGGGATAGGATGTCTACAGTGAACATTAGGTAATTTTAGGCTTTGCAACACGTAGTTGCCATGAATTTCCTACATTTTCTAAAAATGGTTAATTTTACGTATCAGGGTTAATGGTTAATTTTAGGTACTAGGGTCTGGGACAGGATGTCTAAAGTGAATAAACGTAATTTCACGCTTTGGGACGGTAGTATTTGTGCATTTTCTACACTTTGAAAAATTACGACAACAGATTCCGCCCCATCCCGTCAAAATATGACGCAAGGGGGGCACCTGATGCGTCAAAATTGGACGCAAAGGGACCTTTGAAAAACGTCAATATGTGACGACTCGGGAGTGAGAATGGGTTGCTTTGTGACATGGTATGGGAACAATCATCTCATCTTGAATGTCAACAAAACAAAGGAGATGATTGTAGATTTCAGGAGAAATAGTGCTAGATCAAACCCTGTTTCCATCATGGGAGAAGAAGTGGAGGTTGAGGAATATAAATACCTCGTTGTTCATCTGGACAACAGACTGGACTGGAGACTCAACAGTGAAGCAGTCTACAAGAAAGGACAGAGCAGACTGTACTTTTTAAGGAAGCTGAGATCCTTCAATGTCTGCAGCAAGATGCTGCAGAACTTCTACAAGTCTGTTGTTGAGAGCGTCATCTCTTCTGCCATCATGTGTTGGGGCAGCAGCATCAGAGCCAGGGACCTAAAAAGGCTAAACAACCTGATAAAGAAGGCTGGTTCTGTTCTGGGGACGACTGTGGAATCTCTGGAGATGATGGTGCAAAGAAGGATTTTACATAAAATCAAGAACATTGTGGACAACCCTGACCATCCTCTTCATCAGACTGTCATAGAAAAACAAAGTGTCTTCAGTTGGAGACTTCTTCAACTTCGCTGTAATACAGACCGCTACAGAAGATCTTTCCTGCCCACAGCCATCAGCATCTACAATAAGTTTTTAGTTAAATGAGTTACAACAACACCTAATTTCCCTCTGGGGTCAATAAAGTATTTTTGAATCGAATTGAACTGAATGATAACATTCAAATGAGGAAATGTCGCATTAATTAGGACTTTATATTTTCTATTTCTAACTTGAAGTTGGAAACATCTCACAAACTTCATCAGTAAAACTAAAGTGTGCACATGCAAAATTATTCTAAATGACAAAAAATAATTTAGAGACGTGACCTCCTAGAAAAATAATATTTAAAAACAATAAACTTGTGGGGAAAACTCGCGCGCAGTTGTAATATTTCCAAACAGGAGCACGGCACCTTTATATTATTTATGATAAACTTATTATTATTATTTGACAGACAGGTGTTGTTCGTGTTGATAACAATCGAGGGCCTGTTGTTACCAAAGATGATGGATTCTTAAATGAGTGCACGAGGCAGGGACTGCAGCAGTGCGCATGGAACAATCTTAGGTTTGAGCAGCCGATCTAATGGAAGCAGCAGCCTGTCTGCAGACTGTGCAGCGCAGCGCGCAGGAGCCTGGAGAGGCTGTCGGCTTTCAGCTGAGAGGGAGAAGAAAACACATCAGCAGGAACACCGGTGAGATAAAAAAAATAACTTTATTTAATTAATAAAAATGTCTGAGAATAAATCCACTGTTCCTGCGTAAAACGCAGGGTCACAAGCAGCTTCAAGTAGGAAACTTAAATATTTAACTGATTTGGGAGAAAAAATGATGATTTTGGTTCAAATGAGCGCAAAAGCTTTTTTGTTTGCGGAGCAGTTAGACTCAGATACGCACGTGCGTCACGCGGATGCTCGAGTTTATTTTTTGACTGTGGGGCCAAAGATTGACCCGTTGGTAGATTTCTATCATCTCACCGTGAGACCTCTTCATTATTGTCAGCCACACCACATCCCTCCACACAGCTGCTCCAAACCACGCGCGCGCGCACACACACATACACGCATCTCTTTTTCTAAAATCATTACTTGTGTGGTAAAAGAAAATCTCTAAAGTCTGCAAAATCTTTATAACGTTGATATTTTCCATTTTTCATGTTCGTTTTTAAAATATCGTTTAAACTCAAATAACAAATATGAGCAGAACAGTTTGCTATAATTACATTTTCCTTTTTACTTAGGTCCACTAATTGTTCTGCTTCTGATCAGGCCTTATTATAATTAATATTATTTTAAAAAATCTGTATGTCTTGGCCCTATGAGACACTTCATC